TTTAATAACATTAAGTGATTGTAATATTTTTTTTGTATATTAATTTATAATTAAAAAATATATTATTTTAAAAAACAAAACTTGTTAATTAGACAAAATAATTAATTTTTATTTAAAAATTATGATAAATAATAACTATTAAAAATAGAAAAATTAAAATTTTAAATAAATATTATTCGATAAAATTTATGTAAAAAGAAATTTTTTAAAAAACAGTAAATCCTTTCTTCTTAATTATAGCTACTTATTATTATAAATTTATAATTTTATGTTAATTATAAAATTAATTAGACAAATCTCAACTGGAAAAATGGCCGCGTAAGGAGCAGGTTTGGGAAAATGTCTCTCTTGACTTAGAAGTCTCTCAACCATTAGAAACTGTCAGTAAAGCCATCATCTTTTCTTAGATCCCATCGCAGAACCCACGACAGAGTCAACTCGCCCGCTCCGGAGGCAGAAACCGGGGTCGTGTTGCTCCGGGAGAGGAAGAAAAATGCCTTTATCCTCTTATCTTAGTAACGCCCGCCGTGGCGGAGGATGGAACAATGCATTACTCCCCTCAACCACCGGTAAATCACCATCGTCTAAGCTCCCCGCCCGGAAACGCAAACGAACGGCTCTCATCAACTTTTTGTTGACCAACTTCTTCACGATCGCGCTCTGTCTATCCCTTCTCTTCTTCATCCTCACCCTCTTCTACTTCGGTGTGCCCAAGCCGATTTCCTCCCAACCCAAATCCCGACCCCCCAAGAAATTCACCTCCCGGAAGCCTATTATTCGGAGACCCACGAATGATTCACTCCAACATGGTGCTGTTGTGGACATTACTACCAAGGATTTGTATGATAAGATTGAGTTTCTGGACAAAGATGGGGGTGCGTGGAAGCAGGGATGGGATGTCACCTATAGAGGGAGCGAGTGGGATAGTGAGAAGTTGAAGGTGTTTGTGGTGCCTCACTCGCATAATGATCCTGGGTGGAAGCTTACTGTCGAGGAGTATTATGAGAAGCAATCAAGATTTATACTTGACACCATTGTGGAGTCCCTGTCTAAGGTATTGGGGTTTTGCTGGGGTTTGTGTGAGGCGCATGCCAACCCCTTTTAGCTTTGTTCTCATGATCTGTTTGTCGAATTGATCATGGTTGTTTGTTTAAGGGAGGCTAATTTTGATTGCTATTTATTCCGTTGTAGTGCAATGATTGCATGAAGTAGGATATTCTTTTTACAGATATAGTGAGTTAAATAGGAATCTTGATTTGGATCACTTCTTGGAGCTAATTTGTATGGTAATCTAATAAAGGGAAGTTTTGATCCTTCTTTATATTTTTTATACAACGAGTTCCTGTTTTGATTAATATTTGAGGCGGTGAGTATGGTTTTAGTCTATGATATATTGAGTAATGTAGGGTTCACTAGATACTACTCTCAAGAAAGGTTATGTTTTTCTTTTATGAGTGCGAAATTTTGGGGTGGATTGCAAGGATGTTGAAACAGATAGAAGTTTTTAGTCCATGGTTGAGGTTTTGATTTTGCAAACTTCTTTCTTTCAGGTAGGCCTTTTTTTGATAATTGGGGTTTGTACTTAGAGCTTAACCTGAATTTGCATCTTATTGAAATTTTTTCTGTTGGATTACTTATGGTGTAGTTAGTTGAACTGATGACTGACTTTGTCAGGGGATTCAACCTTTTATTTCCTTAGACATTGGCATTGAGTTAGTGTTATCTTGTGTCAAATTTAGGCTTATTTGTGGTGAGGCAGGTATGGTTTAGTGGTATTTTATTATATCATAGTTTTAGGTTACTTTGGTATTCATATATTTGATATATGTTTTTGATTGGTTAGTGGAATCATTGTTTGAATTGACAAGGGTTTGATTTAGCTCAAAACTGAAATTTCAGTCTAAGATCTTAAGTGTTAGCTTTAGGGAAATAGGATAACTATTTCTTTTATTAACAGATCACTTTGCTGCTTGATTAACATGGTTTGTTTTGACGTGGATTTGCAGGATTCTAGGCGGAAGTTTATATGGGAAGAGATGTCATATCTTGAGAGGTGGTGGAGAGATGCCTCAGAGGATAAAAGGGAATCTCTAACCAATTTGGTGAAAAATGGCCAGTTAGAAATTGTCGGAGGTGGTTGGGTAATGAATGATGAGGTACATCCGCACAATTTTTTTGATTGACAATCCTATCTCATCTTAGAAATCCATGCTTGTGGTGGCTAAGTTTGTATTCTTCTAATTTCTTGTTCCCCATCATTTTTCCTCCTACCTAGTTTGGTCTTTTATTCAATTACTTGTTTAAAATATTTTTTGGCTACATTCAGATTCTGAGGCTGCTATTGGCTAATTGGTCTTATTTGCCCTAACAAACTTCTGATTTCTTTTCTTATGCAGGCCAATTCACACTATTTTGCCATAATTGAGCAGGTATCTCATACATGCTGGTTACACTTGATTTTTTTTTTCTCCCTCAAAAGCTGGTTACATTTGATTTGAATAAATACATTATGGGTTAGATATGTGCTTTCATATGGTTCAGGCAGGAATGGGTTGATCTGTTAGACATGATATGTAATCTGCGGTTTAATTACATTATCAAAGACAAATCATGGGTAGAAACTGTGCATTATGCTTGAATTTTGTGTCTTAACTCTTAATTGACTTCTTGCCTGATGCATACTTATTTTGCTGAGTGAAATTTACTAATTAATATTTTGATGGTTTTTTTTTTTCCTCCCTTTGGAACATATGTTCGAAATGTTCTTTAGTGTAGTTGCAGCATTTAAACTGGATATAGACCTGTGTTTGACTCTTGATAATTAGATCACCATGATATTCTTGGCTTCTAGTAATGTTGAATGTGTTGGAAAGATCCTCATATATCATGAGGTTCTCGCACATCTGAAATCTATTACATAAGTTTACTTCATGCATGTCATGTTTGCATTTACATCATTAATCGAGTCTCTACTAATTTTCTACCTTCAATCTTTAAAACAGATTACAGAGGGCAATCTATGGCTGAGTGACACTATTGGATATATTCCTAAAAATTCTTGGGCAATAGATCCTTTTGGCTACTCACCTACCATGGCTTATCTTCTCCGTCGTATGGGATTTGAGAATATGCTTATTCAGAGGACCCATTATGAGCTGAAGAAGGAACTTGCTTGGCATAAAAATTTGGAATACATTTGGCGGCAGAGCTGGGATGCTGAAGAAACTACTGATATTTTTGTCCACATGATGCCATTCTATTCATATGATATCCCACATACCTGTGGTCCAGAGCCTGCTATTTGTTGTCAGTTTGACTTTGCTCGGGTGCATGGCTTTACATATGAACTCTGCCCATGGGGTCAACATCCTGTTGAAACTACCCAGGAAAATGTCAAGGAGAGGGCACTGAAACTACTAGATCAGTATAGGAAAAAATCAACACTATATCGGACAAATACACTTATTGTACCTCTTGGGGATGATTTCCGCTACATCAGCATTGATGAAGCAGAAGCCCAGTTCAGGAATTATCAATTGATATTTGATTATATCAATTCAAGCCCAAGCTTAAATGCAGAGGCAAAGTTCGGTACTTTGGATGACTACTTCAGAGCCCTTCGGGAGGAGACTGAGAGAATAAACTATTCACGTCCTGGTGAGGTTGGCTCTGTTCAGGTTGGAGGTTTTCCTTCTCTGTCAGGTGACTTCTTTACTTATGCTGACAGGCAACAGGATTACTGGAGTGGCTATTATGTGTCAAGGCCTTTCTTCAAAGGTGTTGATCGTGTGCTAGAGCAAACTCTTCGTGCATCAGAAATGTTAATGGCTTTGTTGCTTGGTTATTGTCAGAGAGCACAATGTGAAAAGTTGCCCACAGGATTCGCCTACAAGTTGACAGCTGCAAGGAGGAATTTAGCTCTTTTCCAACATCACGATGGGGTGACTGGTACTGCTAAGGATCATGTTGTTCGAGACTATGGAACTCGGATGCACACTTCTCTACAGGACCTGCAGATTTTCATGTCTAAAGCTATTGAGGTACTGCTTGGAATTCGTCATGAAAAGTCAGATCAGAGCCCAGCTCAGTTCGAACCAGAGCAGCTTAGATCTAAATATGATGCTCAGCCACTGCATAGAACAGTCAATGCTCGTGAAGGAACTGCACAATCTGTGGTCCTTTTTAATCCTTTAGAGCAAATGAGAGAAGAGGTTGTCATGGTTATTGTTAACAGGACAGATGTTACTGTTCTTGACTCAAATTGGACTTGTGTTCAAAGCCAGGTTTCTCCTGAAGTGCAGCATGATAAAAGCAAGATTTTTACGGGCAGGCATCGTATCCACTGGAAAGCTTCTGTCCCTGCCATGGGCTTGCAGACATATTATATTGCACATGGGTTTGTTGGATGTGAGAAGGCCAAACCAGTGAAACTCAAATTCTTCTCAAATTCCGGCTCAATTCCCTGCCCAACGCCATATGCTTGCTCAAAATTAGAAGGTGATGTTGCTGAAATCCGGAATCAACATCAAATTCTCACCTTCAGTCTCAAGCATGGGTTATTGCAGAAAATAAGCCATAAAAGCAGTCTTGAAAATACTGTGGGTGAAGAAATAGGTATGTACTCTACTTCAGGAAGTGGAGCCTATCTATTCAAACCCAGTGGTGAGGCTCAGCCAATCATTGAATCTAGTGGGCATATTGTGATCTCTGAGGGCCCCTTGATGCAGGAGGTATACTCGTATCCAGGGACAGCATGGGAGGAAACACCTATCTCTCATAGTACTCGTATTTACAATGGAGGGAATACCATACAGGAGTTTGTGATTGAGAAGGAATATCATGTTGAGCTTATTGGCCAGAATTTTAATGACAGGGAACTGATTGTTAGATTCAAGACAGACATTGATAATAGCAGAATTTTCTACTCTGATTTGAATGGTTTTCAGATGAGCAGAAGAGAAACATATGATAAGATCCCATTGCAGGGAAATTACTACCCTATGCCCTCTTTAGCATTCATGCAAGGGTCAAATGGCAGGCGGTTTTCTGTTCATTCCCGACAGTCATTGGGTGCTGCAAGCCTTAAAGATGGGTGGCTAGAAATCATGCTTGATCGTCGTCTGGTAAGCGATGATGGACGTGGCCTTGGGCAAGGAGTAATGGACAATCGTGTGATGAATGTAGTTTTTCACATCTTGGTGGAATCAAACGTATCTTCCACTTCAAATCCAGTTTCTAACTCACCTCCCCCAAGTCCCTCTCTTTTATCCCATTGTGTTGGTGCTCATTTGAACTATCCATTACATGCATTCATTGCCAAGAAACCGCAGGAAGTATCTGTCCAGCCACCCCCCAGATCCTTCTCTCCTCTGGCTGCTTCCTTACCATGTGATCTGCATATTGTGAATTTCAAAGTTCCACGGCCATCAAAGTATTCTCAGCAGCAGCTTGAAGATCCTAGGTTTGTTCTAATCTTGCATAGGCGACATTGGGATGCTTCTTACTGTCGCAAGGCCAAATCACGGTGCACAACTCTTGCTGATGAGCCTGTAAATCTCTTCAACATGTTTAAGGGTCTTGCGGTACTGAATGTGAGAGCTACTTCCTTAAATCTTCTCCATGAAGACACAGAGATGCTAGGGTATGCCGAGCAGTTTGGAGATATTGCCCAGGAGGGACTTGTTATGATCCCTCCCATGGAAATACAGGCGTACAAGTTGGAATTGCGGCCACACTAGTAAATCCTAAGTTCTTCTGGTTTGATTACATTTTTACCTACTGATGCTTGAGGAGCTTGTAGCAAAACAGACCGTTGAGTGTTTCACAGTTTTGCCATATAAAGAATTAGACTTAATTGACTTTGTGCTGCCATCTCACGAAATCTCTCCGGCCAAGTTGGGCACTTGGGTGTAGCATGGTTGATGCAAGTGGCATTGCAGAAATGGAATCGTCAACGGGTAGAACAATTAAAAGAATATTGGGACACTAATTTGTGTACAATCAATATATGCATAATGAATTTTACCTCACTTTTAGTCCGAAAAGAAAAACAATATATGTTACATGTTGAATGAGAACTTCTGTATATTGTTTGAATGAAAAGATTATCATGCATGGTCTTGGAAGAGAAAGTGATTCATATTAGATAAAATGTTGGAAGTAATTATGATTGGTGAGATACATAAATTGATACGTATTCACTTAATGTCAAGTGACTATAAAAATAAATAAATAATTGTGAATTAATTTCAGTCTGAAAGTATGTTTTCCTGCTATAAATCATTGTAAGAAATGAAATGAACTACATAGTTAGAATAACTGTATTTATAAGAAAAAATGTTAGACCCAAGTAATTTAGCATTCTTTGAAGATTTCATTGAATGTCTGCACAAGTATAACTGATTAATTTAAACGAAGTTTAGATGTCAGTAAAGTAATCTCATGTGAAAACAGTTCCCAGCATACAATGATTGTCTATGATTAACAAACTTAAACATCACATCTTTCCAAAGTTCTCAACAAAATCTGTGGTCAGAGAGTCAGCTCTTAGAGCTATACACACACCTTTCAAGAAGGATAAGCGTATGAGAAGTTGACAGTTCAACAGCGCGTTGGTAGATGTTCATCAGCTGCTTTTGATGATATGGCTTCAATCCTGAATATAACGATGAACTAGTGTCCATGTGGTACTTGCAAAAGATCAAAAACCTCACTACGGAATTACCGCTCCGTGACACATTCCACCTGCAATGTCAAATCCTTGATTCCAGCATCCTGCAGTCTGTGTGCCACCTGAGCTCTTATTGAATCCTTTTCAGCTTCTTCCGATATAAGTAGATGAAGTGTTCCCACAACATCTGTGTTTGTGAAGCTCCATATATGCAAGTTTTGAATTCCAGAAACCCCCTTCATCTTCTTGACATCAATTATAGCCTTTCTCAAACTTTGCTCATGAGCCCTAGGAACCCTTTGAAGCAAAATTTCAGCAGAGTTTCGGAGCAATGGGATAACTGACGAAACAATTAAAACAGAAATAAAAATTGAACATGCAGGATCTGCAACAAGCCATCCTTTGTACTTAATTAAGAGGGTTGATATGACAACACCAACACTTCCCATAGTGTCTGCCAGCACATGCAAGAAGATTCCTTCCATATTGTGGTCGATGTGAAGATGATGATGCTTCTTGGGTTCCTTGCCATTGGATGAAAGTTTGTTCTGTTTGGATCTGTTAGTTGCCAAGGGTATATGACTTTTGGCATCTGAGCAGTGAGTATGGGCATGCAAACCTGCAAATTGATCATGATGCCTTTCCCCTTTATGATCTTCAAGGAAGTCAGTATGTGAGCTTCTTGAAGAACTGCAGTGCAGACTGCCATGAATATGGTGGTCAGAATGATTATTGTGATGATGATCATGGTGGTTGTGATTATGAGCACAATCATTGGAAGCATGACAATGATTGTTGTGATGATGATCATGGTGGTTTTGATTATTAGCACAATCGTGGGAATCATGACCATGACTTTGGCTGGGTGGATTGTGACAAGGAGCATGGTTGTGGTGTTCATGGCACTCAGCATTTTTCATTCTGTTATCTTCAGAGAAGCTGTGGGTGCTGCAATGCTGATCACCCTGATGATGTTCATGGCATTCATGAGAAACAACAATGCACTCATGATGCTTTCCATGACTTTGGTGATCAGGGCCAACACGATCATGTGACTCATGTGAATGCTGGTGATGATGATGGCTGCAGGAGAGGGAGTCAGAATGGGAATGAGAATGCGTATGTGAATGTGAGCATGATCCACCATGTGCATGATGATGTTCCTCATGGAAGAATATCAAACCTACCACATTCACGACTAGCCCTCCAATTGAGACAGTTAACAGACTATTAGTTGATATCTCTTGAGGATCCAAAATTCTCTCAAATGATTCCAACACAATCAATGCCCCAACTAGAACCAGGAAGACAGCATTAGAATACCCTGATAGAACCTCAAATCTCCCTCTACCATAATTAAACTGACTATTTGCAGGCAAACGAGAAATATATGAAGCATAGAGTCCAATCCCCAAAGCAGCACAATCAAACAACATGTGGCATGCATCTGATATCAACCCAAGACTGTTACTCATGAACCCAACAACAAATTCCACAACCATGTAAGCTGTGTTAATCAAGAGGAAAAGTGCAATCTTTCGAGACTTCCTCTCACTTAATATATGACGAATAGGTTTCATAATCAACATACTTAATGGTTCTGAAGACTCCAACCCCAGTTCAAGATAGTTTGAATAAACAGGATCCAGTTCACGAACAGCCAAAAACAGCAAGAAGCCACATATTACCAATCCCATGAGAGATAGTTCCGGGAAGTAAAATAGCTCCAAAACAAGAGTGCAAACAAAGGTAACCAGAAACTCCCTTTGGAAGTCCTTAGAACTAACTAGCTTGTCCTCACCATAATTCTCACTCAAAAGCACTCCAAAAACAACAGTATTAGCCAAAGGCCAACCAAAATTCCCAATAGAAACACCACCTCCTTCAGCTTCAAACACAAAGAAACTCACAACAGCAGGCACAAAAAGAAAAACTGTAGCAAAAAACAATGTAATCAACCGAACCTGTTTTCGACCCAGTTGCCTAATACTTCCCTTGTTCATCGACACTCTCTCATAACAACCCAAAAATCCCGACAGGAATGGGAGCAACATAGGCCAAATCCTTAGACAACTCTCCCTAGGGTACCCCAAGAATCCAAATTTTTCTACGAACGAGGGAGCAAAAGGATAACAATCTCTCCGATCCCAACTCAACGACATGAAAAGCAAACCAGCAAATAAGAGACAAAACCCACGAACCTTAGACGAAGAAAAATTCCGATTTGGGTTCTGCCCTTCAGCAAAGAACCTTGCCGCCACATTTCCCGAGAGCTCTGCTAGGATCATGGCCGCAGTTCCGCAGTATCTAAGGGCTTGGAATCTGATCAGGAAAACAGTAGCCAAGAGGAGGGATTTAGCGAGTAGTAGTTTAAGTTGGGAATGGGAGAGGGAGGAGAGGGGAAGAATAGGAACATTTTGTTTGGAGAGAAGGAAGAATGAGAGGGAAAGGAGGAAGGAGAGGAGGGAGAGAAGGAAGGAAAAGGGGAAGAGAGAGAAGGAGGGCGGAGACGATCGGAGGAAAGGGAGAAGAGAGTAGAGAGAGCGGAGGGAGAGGAGGAGGAGGAGGAGGAAGGAAAGGGAGGATTTGTTATGAGCGGATTTGGAAGGGACGGAATTGAGGGATGAAATGCGAAACTTGGATGGAGTCGAGATTGGGGTGGCAGGGTAAGGATAAACGGGATAGGATCTCGGGGTGCCGGAGGATGTGGAGGAGAAAGTGACGGGGCGTTGGGGGACGGAGAGACGGTGAGGGCGGTGATGGTGGTGGTGGTGGTCGTCGTGATCGGCCATTATTTTCCGGACGGGAAGCCACAGAAGGGCGATTTGCTAAAGTGTTCGACGACTGACTCAAAGTCGACGACTTTATGGGACTGTGCGGTAGGTAGTCTGGGCCTTTAGATGGGTCAGGTAGTCTGGGCCTTTAGATGATGGATTGTCTGTTGTTGAGCTGGTATTTGGGCTTAGTTCCCATAACTTTGGACTATTGGGTGGGTTGGTTCAGATTTCTAAACAAGAGTAAGCAAGTGGGCTAAAATGTGAATTATCTGCCGGATAAAGAATGTTGGGCCTGACTTCAGCCCATGATCAGGAGGGCCCACCCTTGGACATGATTTGATTTCCCCCTTTGTTTTTTGCACCACCTTTGCCTAGTGTCTGCTTGCATCTACATATGTTCAAAACATCAGCTAAGCAAATAAAGCAACTGAGTAGAAGGCAAAAATCAAGGGAAATCTTTATCTATGTGTAGGGAAAGATGTCTACTGTTTTGGTCAAAAGCCATTACTTTATTTTGCTATATAAAGATTGAGCAGATAGTGTTATATGGTGTATAGCACTTTCAAAAGTTATACAAAAGAAATCTATCCTCTTTCTATGCACATTGCACAAATATATGTTCCAATTAGTTATTTTGATGCCAAAGTTGATTTAGTTACTTTCTCTCATTTTCTGCTCACATAATTTAATTATGTGAAGAGGATAAGAATCTTTATTATTATTTTTTTTAACATGTCAAAATATCATTGGAGAGGTGGTGATTAATTGAGGCAAAATATTCCTTTACCTAGGAAAATACTAGTCATTTTTTTAATTAAAAATTTGGAGAAAATTTATGTTTTTAGGTATATTGCCCTCAAGAAAAAGAAAAAGATTAAAAAATATATATATATAAATCAAAAGAGAAATTTTTGTTGATAAAATAGATGAGCAAGCTGACTAGATAACAACATACTTAAAGTACAAAAAAATATATTTTTCTCACAATTAATATAAGATAAAATTTTAGTAAAAAATGACTTTTATTATAAAACAGAGAGAATATGGTTTATTCGGCATTGTGTTGTGGACTAGCTGTATGTGTTTCAAAAAAAAAAAAAAAGGAAGAAAAAGAAGGAGAAGCAAACAATGCCGTAGTGTTGCGGTGAACCTTAAATCAAAGTGACATCCATCTCACTAAACCACCCAATATTGATAATATATATTTTTTATTTTAGTTTGTATAATAAAAGACAATTAATTTTTATTTTTTATTATATTTTATTTGTATAATATGTAATTCAAATTTAAAATATTTTACTTTTAATAAAAAAAATAATTATTAAATTATTTAAGTCATTAGTATAATATTGATAATATATATAAATATAAATGGCTTATACGGAAGTTGATGGAATCAGACATTTGCAAATTCTGATAAGACAGAAATAAGCTTACTCTTTCTCTGCTACCTAGTGGCTTTTTCAATAATTCAGCATCTTCGTCAGCTACCACAAAATTAAAGCTATACATCTCGATCTCCCCAATATCTCTGTGACGTTTTTCTCAAATATAATTGAATCGTATCTTGCACGGACGAACTCCACCCAGAAATGAATCGGGTCTTTGGATCTAATGATTCGATCTTAAATTTTAAGTGTTTGGATGATATAGTCGGAGTTTTAAACTCTACTACTATCGTGAACTCCACTAAAAAGCGATTAAATGGTCGCGCGTTTTATTTGAGGAGGTGAAATGTTCATCAAATTTGAGAATCAGTCACTAACAACTAATTCATACTAATTTTTTAACTATTACCCTTATCAAAAAAAAAAAAAAAAGAAGAACTCCACCAAACAGCCGTTGGGTCGCGTGTGTCATTGAAAGAAGTAAAATATTTATCAGATTTAAAGATCGAATCTCCAATTACTAATAACTAATAAAAATTAACTTACTAATCATTACTTTGTCAAAATATATATATATATATATATCTTGCACGGACATTCCTAACTTTTTTCCATCATTATCATCACTTGTCATCACCCATCTTAAGATTCATAGTTATCGGAGGTTTTAAATTTTTAAAAAATAATCAAGAGAAGTTTTTTTACACGATTTTTTCATATACCATAGTACATATCATTTAATTATTAATTATTTTTATTTTATTAAATTTATAATAATATGTATTTATTCATTTAATTACATATAAAAATTATAAATAAAAAAAATTATTCACGCATTATTACTTCAAATTTAATCAATTGAGACATGTATTTATTTAAAGGTTACGAATACACATATTTTTTTATTTAACATATTTTATAATATATTTATTAAAAAATTATTAA